AGCCACGCAGGGTTAAATAAAACATAATTTTTGTTACATAAAAGTAAATCAAAGTAATGTATGGAATGTAAAATTATAGAAGATGTAGAACAGATAGATACTGTTGCAGTGTGGGCAATATAAGGAAGAGAGGAGTAGATTAAAGGAAAATGGAATCTTGACGGTTTTTTAGGAACATTAGGAGAAGGCCGTATATACAGAATGCAATTACAGAAAATCTAAAGGATACAGGATTTAGAAAATACGTTTATTAATGTAAAGGAAAACAACACTCCCTTCTACAGTAGGTGGCGGTTCGCATCTGATATGTCATGATTGTAATCCGCCATAAAACGAAGAAAATAACATCTCAGTCCAGTAGGTGGCGGTAGTGAACACAGACTACCATCTGCCAACAGAGAACAGAAAGCGCCGAAGAAGAAGAAAAGCAACGAATAAAAACAAAGCGTGGCCAGTAGAAAACAAGACAAACTGGAGAAATTACAGCTTGCGAAACATACCACAAACTACAGTAATACTAGTCAAGATGGAGTTTAAAGAAGAACCCCTTGGAGTAAAAGAAGACCCTTTGAGAATAAAAAAAGAACTCTGCGAAATCAAAGAAGAACGCTTTGGAGTAAAAGAAGACCCTTTGATAGTAAAAAAAGAACTCTGCGAAATTAAAGAAGAACGCTTTGGAGTAAAAGAAGACCCTTTCAGAGTAAAAAAAGAACTCTGCGAAATTAAAGAAGAACCCATTGGAGTAAAAGAAGACCCTTTGAGAATAAAAAAAGAGCTCTGCGAAATTAAAGAAGAACTCTGTGATGTGAGGGAAGGCCCTTACATTTTTAAAGAAGAAAAAACAGAGGAACAAACAGGTCACTGTTTCCCTTTACTGTGTTTAGCTATTGATGAAAGTTAAAAAGAAAATTGTTGGTAAAAACTTGTTCAAAGTAGACTTTTATAAACTGATTTGATTTTTAATCAAAGATTCATTTCTTGTCTCTTTCCATTTGTCTTTTAACTTTAGATTCTGCAGAAGAGACCATTGCCTCCAAGAACACACAGAAAACACATTTCTTAAATGAAGAATATTTTATTTTAAAGACTAAAGAGAATTTCACAGAGAAACCAGCTGGAGAAACTGAATCCAGGAAAAGTTTCTCCAGCTCTGAATCTGGAAAGAGTTTTACCCAAAAGAAGAATTTGGCTGCAAACATACAGATTCACACCGAAGAGAAATTATACAAATGTTCACACTGTGAGAAGAGTTTCTCTCGGCCATCTCATCTTAAACATCATGAGAGGATTCACACTGGAAAGAAACCATACAAATGTTCACACTGTGAGAAGAGTTTCTCTCGGCCATCTCATCTTAAATCTCATGAGAGGATTCACACTGGAGAGAAACCATACAGATGTTCACAATGTGAGAAGAGTTACTCTGACCCATTTTATCTTAAATCTCATGAGAGGATTCACACTGGAAAGAAACCATACAAATGTTCACATTGTGAGAAGAGTTTCTCCGTCTCATCTACTCTTAAATCTCATGAGAGGATTCACACTGGGGAGAAACCGTACAAATGTTCACATTGTGAGAAGAGTTTCCCTGTCTCATCTAATCTTAAATATCATGAGATGATTCACTCTGGAGAGAAACCATACAAATGTCCACAATGTGAGAAGAGTTTCTCTGTCTCATCTCATCTTAAATATCATGAGATGATTCACACTGGAGAGAAACCATACAAATGTTCACACTGTGAGAAGAGTTTCTCTCAGTCATCTCATCTTCAATCTCATGAGAGGATTCACACTGGAGA